TCTCTCTCTCTCTCTCTCTCTCTCTCTCTCTCTCTCTTTCTCTCTCTCACCCTCTTCTTTCTTTTGTGGTGAACTTGGGATGTGAGGGTGATGTAATAATTCCAGCAGTAATTCCAGTAGCTAGGATTAGTATTCAGTGCAATAATACTAGTTGCTTGATCAATGTTTTCTGATTATATTCCCCCCCCCACCCTTTTTTTTTTTGCTGATTTAAGTTCAATTTAGTAGTTGGGATAGATTTGGCAATGTCAAGATGTAGCTCATTTCATCTTTTAAGCTGCTTCAAAGATGGAGTTTGGAGATGGCCTGCAACATGAATGAGATGTCTTATTCCTCACCTCTCTATCTTTGTGAATCTTAATCTATATGTTTTGGGTGTGTGATATCCTCCTCTGTGTCCATAGGAATTAAACTTGGCTTGATGACAAGAATGTAGGTGAAACATAGTACAATATATACATATATACAGGCTCTAAGAATAATGCTGGTAACTTGAGATATTATAATGCTCACTTGATCTGTATATTATCTTTGGTTCTTTAGATATTGATTTAACAAGATAATAGTTTCTGATTTAAGACTGATCAAATGTTTGTTTTCTTGTTAATTTGAACATTGAAAGTTATAATATATGTCAATACCTAATCTTGGAGGCAATGTGACAGCCTTCAGCATATGATTATGGAATATGGATTTTGTGAAAGACAGAATCAATATGTTTCAAAAGGTTTTAGAAAGTAGAACAGAGTCAAACATTTCCAAGTCAGTCAGCTTCTAAGAATAATAGTAAGGTTTGGTGGACAGCATGTGGTTTGTGGGGGAGACCAGAGAATTGTACCACTTTGACTCTATTCTGTGGCCTTCTCCACTGAGCAGAGCATGTGCTTCACACAAGCACAAGACACAATAAATAACCAGAGTGATAAGACAGCAATTCCACTCAAAAAGTATTTTGTTAAGGCTCAATCTCTTTGCCACCTCATTTATTTGCTGTGATGTAGACTACTTGGTTCATGAACTCACTAAAACTGTAGGAGGTGAAACACAAGAGGATTCTCCTTTGACCATCTTTTTTTGTTAGAGACAAATGCTCAGATCATTTTGGATGGTTCTACTGTTGATGAAAGCAGGAGTGTCAGACTCTGCCTGTTTCATTACTTGCAGAGAGTTCCTTTGTGAAGGTTGTTTATCAAGTGTAGGGTGTTGAATGAACTGGTGATTTAGAGAGACAAACAGACCTTGATATCTTTCTTTTTTCTCAAGGATTATTGATAGTGTCCAAAAACATTTGTTGAAGTAATGATTGTGGGGATGCAATAGATCCAGACCAAGTTCTAAGTCAGAAGGTATTTGCAAGTTGTTGATGCCCACAAGCTGTTTCTCTCAGACCATCAGCCTTACTTTCTGATCATCCAAATATAATAAAGTCAGAAGCCCACAAGCTACTTCTCTCAGATCAGAACATCAGCTTTACTTTCTGATCATTTTAAGTATAAATTAATAGATCATGTCTCATCACTGACTCAAGTTCAAAAATGCAATGACTTGGATGAAAAATTCAAGAGAAGATGAACAGATTCAGAGAGCTTAGAGCAGCATAAATTGTCTACCAGTTGGGAGAATTCTTCTCCATCAACAAATTTAAAATCTCCATAGTTTCTAGTATAAGTTTTCTCCGACTTCTTTTTCTCGAATCACTAATAATGATAATCGCACCTCATATAATTAAACATCTATGAATTTCTTTAATACATGTCTATATCATATTAAACAATTCTTCTCGACTCATTCTTTATCAGAAATACGTTTAATTATTTACATGTAAAAAGGTCTTATTTTTCTAGTACTATTAAAAAAAATATAGACTTAAAACAGTAGTGATAACTTACAATGATGCATAACAAAAGTAGAACTAAAATGCACAGTGAAAAAGAAAATGAGAACATTTTAAAAGATGAGGTGTCTTTTTTATATATGTCTTACTTTATAAGAAAATAAAAGAAACACCTTAGAATATTCCCAATTATAAGTACTTAACTAACAAAACTCTATTTTGATTGCTAAAAAATTAGAAAACACAAAATAAAAATGAAACCTTACATGATTATTTTTTAAAAAAATATAGAAAAATATAAAGAGTTAAATCTTATGGTTTAGAGACAAAGTGATTTCCTTTTATAGAGGTTTTCTATTTGTCTATGTGTAAGAAAAAAAGGAGATAAAAGCCTTTTCATTTATTAGTTATTGATTGAATGAAATAGTATGGAGGAAAATATATTAGAAGAAAAATTAGGCATATGGAAAAAAAATACATGAGAGTGCTTTGCAATGCATTTCATAAAACAGAGGAGCTTTACACTAATAATCTAAAGTTAGGGACTTTTTGGCAAAAGATTCCCTAAGGGATTAATACAAACATTATATGCATTTCTATTCCTAAAATAAATAATGGGTTTTACATGTCTTTCTTTAGAATTTTGAGGAAATTATATTTACCCCATCAAATTTTAATATTATACTCCTCCAACATTTTAGATTTTACATACACATTCATCCAAATAATAAAATCTCATAAATTTCATAAAATCAAAGAACTCTATTGCCGAAAAAGCTAATTCTAGGAAATGTTTGATAAATTACCCTAAACATTATAGGCTTAATTATCAAAATTTATTTTTTTATGAGTGTTTTATTTTTTATTATTTTTTATATTTTTATAGTTTAAAGATATTTTGTAGAACTATATATAATTTTAAATTATTTATATATTTTAACCTATTTTTAAATCAAACATATAGTTCGACTAATTGACCTACCGGTAAGATAAGTGAGATAATTATAATTATGTTTATACAAACACATATAAAAATTATTAACTTTAGAAGGATTCATATGCCATTTTTCTCTTAAAATGTATGAGAAGGAAATCTTTGCATGTGTGTAAAAGAGGAGGTGAAAAGTTATGAGATATATATATAAAAAAAAGAGAAATTAGCAAAAACTTCCAAAAATTGTTGAGGAGCTTTGCGCTAATAATATAAAGTTAGGGACGTTTAAGTAAATTGTCCCCAAACAATTATAGGGGTCAATACATAAATAATCGACTTTGGTGGATGTATACGTAATTATTCCCAAAGATATACCTTCCGTCCCAAAGCCTCTTCGGCGGTCTTCCGTTATCGCGATTCATCGCTCCACCGAGGCAGGATTGGGTGTTGCGAAGGCGACGCGCATCCGGAATCACCTTCTCTTTGGTCCCCCGGGAGACATCGCAGAATCTTTTACTCGGTGCCGCTTCCTCCGCGGAGAGCGCCGGTGCTTGATCCGAGGTTGACGCCATTAGCCTCAGCTCCTCCGGTTACCTGATCGCCTCGATCGACCGCTTGACCGGTGCTCTGGTGAGACCGAACGCTTCTTTCTCCGGATCCCGCCGCTGCAATTCGTAGGTCGTTAGCAAGATAACTCGCACCTTTTCTTTTCCTTGTCGTGGTCTCCGAGGTCGCGGATGTGCCCTTTCTTTTCCAGTCTAGATCGTAATGTGCGTGCACATGACAGAGCGTTTAACTTGGCGAATGGAAGTTTGGTTCTGAATTAGGGTTTGTTGGATAGCGGTGTTTTGAAATTTTATTTCGTGTAATAGCCTATTAGTCTTGATAGAAAAAAGCCTCAAGGATTATTCTTCTAAGACGACCTCAAACGCAACGATACTTCAAATGAACAATTTATGCGACCGAATAGGTTAATCGATAATTTTTTAATATTATTACTTTTTTTTTGTTTGGATATCTTTGGGAATTGTAATACACAATAAAGCAAAAAGGAAATGTAAGTCTATAATTTTCAATTCTTGAATGATTTCTATGTTTTCATATTTTATGTAACATTGAAATCATGAATAGGATTGCAAGATTAGCCTATGCAGCTTTAGTTACATGTTCCAATAGATTATTTAGAAATCAACTTAGGATAAATTAATCAAGTTCAAATTTCTTTAGACATTTATGTCGGACATATCATGTTAATCATGTATGTATTTGTCTAACATAAAATTGGTTATTTGTTATACATGATGGCTATCCATAAATATATCAGAAATATCTTGAATGATTTTTTTTGCTTAATTTGATTCTGTTTATTGAATCGTTGAAGTCTTCTACCCCTTATTTCTAACTTTATTGTTCATATCACTATTGTTGAATTTAACTTATTTTTACCAAATATTTTTACTGTTCATGTTCGTACCTAGCTTATTGCATCATGGAATGACTCAAAGAAAAAGGTTGGTACAGGTGGAGATAAAGGAATAATCTTGGTGAATAACAAATCTTATTATTTTTCCTCTGTCGTTTGTTGCCAATGGCAACCATCCGCCGGTTTTGCTGCAATGATCTCCTCCGCTTTGCTTCCGTAAATCTTGACCACCGAACCGAGACTGTAAGCTCTCCTATATTGATTGTCTTAATTTTTTTGTTCTTTTTTCATATCTTAGCTCTTATTCTTTCTGCGTATCTAATTTCCCCCTTCTTTTTTTTTTAATCTGGCTAGTTCAACATGTCATTCTACATGACATACCTGGCTCGGTGGCCTGATTACTTTCACGTTGCAGAGGGCCCTGGTAATTGTATCATGGGGTATAGTAAGTCCTCTATTATGTGTTGCTCCACGATTCATCAATTTCAGTTTTTTGTTTTGCAAAACCATCAACCATACCAGAGGATCTGATGCTCTTTTTGTCATATGGAAATTTAAGGAAACAAGAACCAGATTTCTACTAAGGTTTCATATAAATCTGTAATTTTTAATAACCAAGATTGTTTTTTGAGTTGTAGCATGCCAAACTCCCCTTTTAGTATTGCTGTATAGAAAAGCCAATCAACTTCAGTGCTATTTCTTATTTCTTGATTATAGAACATGAAATACAGCCCATTAATGACAACTATCTCATTTATGATTGCATGTGATTGATCAGTTATTTAATGAGATTCGTGGTATAGTTCTGTTTTCTAAGCTTGATGCCACCAAATTGAAGTTGATGCAATATGTGCAAACAAACCAATGGGTACTATGAATTCCTAGTAGTGCTTGCTGCTCGGACCAATGAGCCATCAAAATTTCTAATTCATAACAAATGCAAGATTTTTTATGTATAATGCAATACTTGAGACATGTATGGAGAAGTTCATTATGATATTTTAGAAATGGCTTTGAATTATGTGAAAAACCATGATTAAGCAAATAGACCCCACCTGAAGCTTACCTTTAGTGTATAAACAGACATAGCTATGTGCAAAGGCCTCTAAGTTGAACTAACTATGATTAGCATTTCTTCCGTCAATCTATTTCTCTATATATTAATATATCCTTCCCATCTAAAATTTGAGACCTATGATTCTGATCCTAAATTTGGAGTCTCATTTTAGTGCTTATGCATGTAAACATAATATTGTTACTTTTATTGTTCTGGTTGTAATGACAAGATTACTAGTTTTTGTAGTGATGTTTGACAATCCAGTCTCTGTTTTCAGTTATGGGTAAAGTCGAAGGACAAGGTGAATCTTGGCATGGCCATGTAACTGCAGTTACTGTTGCTTCTGAGTATCGAAGACAACAACTAGCCAAAAAACTCATGCACTTATTGGAGAACATCAGTGACAAGATGTAATATTGTTTCCTTTCTTTCTTATTTTCTGTTTATTAATCTGTCATAACTGAGTTCTAGTATTTCTGCTAAAGCACTTGAATGAATGTTGCACATGATTCTTGATAATTGGTCACTTCCAAAATTAAAATTTTGCTGTTCGTTTTATGGCCACATGTTGGTGTAGTTGGCCAATTAGTCTGGAGCATACCAAGGGTAATAGGACAATAGTATTTGCTACTTGTATTATTTTAGATTTTTGACATTCAGTTTTGTAATTGTGTGTTTTAGTTAGTTGCCTCAAGAATGTGATTCCATTTGGATTCATGATGTTTATTCATTCACTTGTTCAGCCGCTCTATAAGATCAGTACTTTTTGGGAAAGGTTTTCCAGTGCAAAAAAGGCATTTTTTTCTATTTGACAGATTTTGATGCTCGCCAAATCTGAAATAACACAGAGGTTATCTCTATTCCTCATAAACCTCCACCCAAATCATCACTCAATATTTCTTGACCTACTATTGACCAATCTACCTGGGCATTGGGCACAATGTGAGTAGGAACACTTAGCCATGTCTCATAGTTGGAAGAACGGGCGTCATGGAAGGTCATGAAGCTTATATAGGAGATGTTTTTTATTTGCATTCATGACTTCTGAAAGGAGTAGCTAAGTCAAATTCTAGTCTTCGTGAAGGAAGCATGACCACTTTACCGATAGTCGAGACTCAACGCAGAGACATTTCAGCTTATTTTCCTACTAATGTAATTTCCATTCATTCTTATCTGCCGATCTATTCAATGGTACTTTTGTAATGTTTGTTCTGATCATGATTTTGGGATTAGGTACCACTTTATAACGCAGTTTCTTTTCTTTTCTTTTCTTTTCTTTTCTTTTTTCTTTTTCAGATTTTGAATATTTGCTTATGTCATGTTTCATTCTCTTGTCCTCCTTGCAATGGACAATGGACAATGTTGTTTTGTATGGAATGTTGTGATTGTACGATAATGATATTTTTAGCAATAAGATGAACATGGTATAAATGACAAGATGGAGATCAAAAATGAAAAGTTTTATTCAAAGATAACATGGGTAAGAGTCACACAAGTTCAAAATTGATGTGTTTGAAATGACCAATGGAGATCCTAAATGGCCCTGAGATATCAGTGTTTGAAATATATGGATGTACATATGGTTATACATAAATAATATTGGGAAATCATTCAGAAGAGTGGTGAAGTCCATGTTCAAACTCCTATTTTATGGGTATGCATAAACGATCTAGGGAAATCATTAAGGAGAGTTTGGTGAAGTTCATATTGAAGTGTCTTAACAAAGGGAGGATATGGTAACACTTTGTTCTAATGAGGAGAATTTCATTATGTTCCAGAGGTCTTTAAGTTACCGTATGCTGTTCTCTGTTATGCTTAAATTAATATCATCAGAGCCTCAGAGGAATCACCTGAAGCCCATATCAATTATTATTTACCCCATGGTTTCTGTTAATTGATACAGTGTTTGTATCCAAGAGAAACTTTACGGCTTAACAAGATGAACTAAGGCTTGATTATTAGCCTAGAGTCTCATTACATGAGGTCGTAATTGGCATGACCATAATTTTCAAATCTATAGAATTGTCTTATGAACTTATCTTCCAGTGGAAATTTAACTGGTTTGAGTTTTTTCACTATTCTGGTGGAGACGATGCCACTAGTCACACTGTTGGATTTTGACAGTTTGTTCTTGGTGTTTCTGATGATGTTTTTATTGCTAATATACAAAATTATCCTGTGCAGCGATAAAGCATACTTTGTGGATCTATTTGTAAGGGCATCCAACATGCCTGCTATAAAAATGTATGAAAAGGTAGGCATTCTATCGCATCCATCTTACCTTTGGCAAAACCATTTCTGTTATATGCCATTTTGGTGTTGTGCTTTAAAAGACAATCAGATTCATGTGATCTTATTGGACAGGCTAGTCATGTTTTGCAGCATTTGTACTAGTCATGGTTCTGATTTCTGGATCTTAACTTGGAATGATGGATTCCTTGCTAGGGGTGCTTTATGCATTAGCTTTACCCAATATTGCTGTGATGGCCATTACCATTATGCACATTTACAGTGGTAGCAAAAATGCACTTTTTGCTGGAATGAGAATTACGAGGTATATATTGAATTGTGTTGGTAAATGGCATCATCTGGTGCTTTTTAATGGGTGGAACGATTTGGTAGCTTCTATTGCCAATCACACCTGTTCTGCCATTTCTTCCTTTTTTTTGTGTGATATGTAAATATATAGAATTTACAACCAGGGGCTCTGGCCCCAAGACCTTTGAAGTGAAAATAATTCATTCATATATGAATATACAAGGAAAATAATGTCGTTATTTATTGTAATTGGCATCCATTTTGTTAAAGAATGGAAATGGAGCCAAACTTATAGTTATTGTTCAGTGATTTGCATAGCTCACCATTTCTGATCAGTGGACTGTTGTCCGTTCTGAACAAGTTGGTGTTAGTCAGAAATTCATGATGCATCATTAACCATTATTTACCAGTAGAATCATTGGCTGCTTTGAAGACAGATTAGTTCGAATCAAATGTTAATTATTGTTGCTTAGTGGTACCAAGTATCAATTAGACAAGTTATTGTCATTGTCATGATTTATTTGCATTTTTAGGTAAACATACTTGTCCTTTCTGAACAAGTTGGTGTTAGCCAGAAAATTCATGATGTATCATTAACCATTATTTACCAGTAAAATCATTGGCTGCTTTGAAGACGGATTGGTTCGAATCAACTGTTAATTATTGTTGTTTAGTGGTATCAAGTATCAATTAGACAAGTGATTGTCAGTGTCATGATTTATTTGCATTTTTTAGATAAACATACTTGTCCTTTCTGAACAAGTTGGTGTTAGTAAGAAAATTCATGATGCATCATTAACCATTATTTACCAGTAAAATCATTGGCTGCTTTGAATATGGATTGGTTCGAATCAACTTTTAATTATTGTTGTTTAGTGGTATCAAGTATCAATCAGACAAGTTATTGTCATTGTCATGATTTATTTGCATTTTTAGATAAACATACTTGTCTTTGTTGATCACATTCGTTCTCCTTCTTTCCTTTTCATTCTACAGCTTGGCTATGTGATATACCGAAGAGTGCTGCGCTACTACTCTGGGGAAGAAGATGGTTTGGGTATGTGGCTTCACAAACAAGATCAAGTGGGCATGTTCAAAATCAAATTGATTATGGTGTTAATTGAGCTTCATGTTTTCAGATATGCGGAAGGCACTATCTCGCGATGTTGATAAGAAATCCATGATACCCCTGAAAAGGCCAATCACTCCAGACGAACTCGAATATGATTAAGTTCTTCATCAAGTGCTTCCGATGGTTAGGTGATTATGCACTTTATGATATGTAATAGTTGGTAAATCTTCATACAGAGCGAAGTCTGGTTGTTTATTGAATCATATGAGGATCTGTATGTGAAATTTGCTTGTCTTTGCAAGATAGTGATGATCATGTCTTATTTTTGCATAGAGTACCTTGGAAGTGTGGATTTTATGGGCATTGTTTCTGGAACATTTTCTGAGAAAGTTGAAGCTATATTTCATTCCAGGAAACTCTTGTTTGATTTTAATTTGGTGAAACATGTTGAAATTTATACCATGTTCAGCTAGTTCTGATGTTTCTACTTGTTCTTCAATTTTTTTTTAGCTGTATCTTTTTGTTCTTTTTCTGCCAATGGGAACACGATCACAATCAACTGATAAGCCAGAAAAAAAATTAATGAGCATCTCAGGTTTGATAGGGAAGATTCCCTTTTGTGAGTCTTCCACATCAGCTTTTCTGTATCTTGCTTGCTACCTTGGTTTACTTTCCAACTGAGTTGAATCTCTTGGTTCTGGCAACTTTATACCCCATGAGATTGCATGCCATTATCTATGTTGACTTTTAAACAGAGTAGCTACTTCAGCAAAGATTTATATCATGAAAGCCAGAGCTGTAGAAGTCAAGCATAAGGTACATAGCAAGGACAACTTTTATCATGCTTCTTGCAGCATTAGGATGCTTTTCCAACAACTTTTTCTATTGTTCTACAGATGATACTATAGCGTGTTCCAGTGTCATTCATCTGGTATTGTTTTGGAGGCAATGCAACCAGGACTCCCCCTCCATGGAGATGTAATAATTGGAAGCACTAGCTAAGTCTTCAAAGCAATCTACTGACTCCTATGTAGTACTTGTCGCAAGCCTCTCCAAAGTTCAGCAAAAAATTCCACCAAGCCACACATGCATTGTTTTTATTGTTATCATCTTCCTGTTTGTTCTTTTGAGTAGGCACAAACCAGATGGGTCTCAGAAGCTCAATCGACTGCCCAACTTCATCAACTCAGTCAATATTTATGGCCCAATCAAAAGGTATGCATCAAGTAACCAACATACTGTTACATTTCAACCAGCAATCTACAAGTAATGTAATGCATGTTTTTCTTGTTTTGAAGGAGGGAGATGGGTCTCAGAAGCTCAATCAACTGCTCATCTTTATCCATACAATGCTGCTACCCTTCAACTCAGCCAATATTTGTGGCCCAATCAAAAGGTATGCATCAAGGAACCAACACACTGTTAGATTTCTCAACCAGCAATTTACAAGTAATGTAATGCATGTTTTTTGTGTTTTGAAGGAGGAGAGAGAAAAAAAGAAAAAAAAAGAGGAATCAGATTGTGAGCCTTATTTGTCTATTTCATCCTTTGTCCGAGTTTTGTGGTTGCTATGAGCCAGCGAGGATGATTGAGAACCAATGATATTAATCGAAAACCTGAGTCAGAACCAAGGTCATGCTATTGGTTTGCCTTTCGATTCATAATCCTGGAACAGTGTTGCAGAAAGAGACCAGATCAGATGGTAGTAGATGACCACAGACATCAGTTTCATCTTCCAATCCGGTCTACGAATTCCTTTTCGAGCCAATCATGCCACAGATCAGATGCATTTAACGGTGCGTCTCAGTTTGATCCCTCTCTCTCCTTTGGTAGTTCCCAATTATTTCATCTTTCCTCTGTTTCCTCATTCCCTTACGTATATTTCAAATGTGTTTTGCGACAAACACCAACCAAACAGCAGCTCATGCAGCTTCCAACTGTCTTCTTCTGCCTTATCGGCGGAGGGCTAGTAATCCACTATCAGTTCATAGCTTGTCCACAATGGAGGAATTATATATCTTGAATCGGTCCATGTTAGATTCATCCTTCCTCTATACAGTCTCCAATGAATCAATTCATTCCAGATTCATGCATCCTTGCTCTTTTTAGGTGTCTAAATATGGTAGGATAGATCGCATGGACGCAGTGAAAGGAAAGACGATCTGTGCAGAGTGTCAGATCAGGCAGTAGATTAACATAATGGTGATTTGGTGAGGCTCATCATTGGAGAAGTCGCTTCATAAGATCCTCGGAGGCATCCCTTGTGGGAATCTCCTGCGGTGGTGGAGTTTGTCTTCATGCCTTCTCTCTCTCTCTCTCTCTCTATTCACTCCCTCTGTGCTTTGCCTGATTCGCTTCCTCGGCCGCTTGTTTGTTTCCTGCCTCTCTCGTGTGCAAAAGCCAAGGCTGCCGCCCCCAGACCGCACCTGACCGCTGACACCTGGCCGTCTCCTCTTCGGCAGCAGCGACGACGATGACGACGACGACGACGACGACGATGGCCGTCGGCACGCTGGCGCTGCGACCTCGCTCGCCGACTGTCCCAGGCACGTCCTTCTTCCGCAACATCCTCCACTTCCTCCTTTTTCTTGCTCGTGTCATTTAAAGCTTCATGTTCCTGCTTCATGCCGGGTTGCAATCGAGTGCCTCGATGCATGTGAGGGGTGGGAGGAATCACCAGCAGTACCTCATGGTCTATATACAACAAGAATTCACGCCACCTTTCCCAGTGGCCTTTCTTTATATCTTGCGAAGCGAAAAGGGAGGATTCCGCTAAAGATTTTACTGCTGTTTGGGTCCATGTGTAACAGTAGGTCCGTGCGATCTGGGCATCACTCGGAGAGCCGAGAAGGAGGTGCGCTTTGCGCGGTGGAGGAGCCATGCATTATCCAAACCCACCACTCCAGGTACGTACCAGAATCCCCTTCTGATTTCCGTGGAACGGATGCTTTCTTCCTCGCTGCTTTGATCCGAACATAAACACTAGAAGGGCTTCCTCGATGAAGTGGGTGGCTATTGCCACCGATGGATTTCCTCAACTACGTGGAATTTGGAGCGAAGACTGCCCTCTTTCATGGCCGGACATAAAACTGCAGCTAACCACTCTGCGCAGCTGCATACAGCATGGCATTCAGATTACGAGTGATTTACTGTCCACTTTGCTATCGTATCTACTTGCAGAATACGGCGTAGGCTTGATTCAGAACGGATTGCCTGTTCTTCATCTGCCAGAGAATGAGCCGCAGGACGCCGACGAGGACGAGGACGATGATGGATCGCTTGAGGTAATTTTGTTGTATGAAGAAGCTGTCGATGATAGTGAAGTGCCCACTGTAAAGTTTGGGAGCCGAGAAAAGATGGTAATGATTGATGGATCTTGTTCTCTAGCTCTGTGGATCGAGAGGGATATGGCGGATGGTGGGTGAAGTCAGAGCGATGTTGCGGCGGATGGGTGATGGGGAAATAAGCATCTCCGCATACGACACGGCGTGGGTGGCACTGGTCAAGAACAAAGACGTAAGTGGTGGCCCTCGGTTCCCGTCCAGCCTCCGGTGGATCGTCGACAACCAGCTGCCGGATGGCTCGTGGGGAGACGCTGTCATCTTCTCCGCCCATGATCGGATGATCAACACCCTGGCCTGCGTCATCGCTCTCAAGTCATGGACCATCTATCCGGATAGTTGCAGGAGAGGTCAATCGCAATAGCAATAGCAGCACTGCCATCAGACACATCCACACCAAACACACACACACACACACAAGAATGCACATAAGATTGTAGCTGAAATGGCTCCTTTTAACTTGACAGGACTTGCATTTATCCGTGAGAACATGTGGAGATTGCGTGAGGAGGAAGCAGAGCTAATGCCCATCGGCTTCGAAGTCGCTTTCCCCTCCCTCGTTGAAATAGCCAAAGCGCTTGAGCTGGAGATTCCCTATGGTGACCCTTCTTTGCAGGAAATCGACGCCAAGAGAAGTCTGAAACTGAAGAGGTACTGCAGCAAAACCCGAGTGTTGCATTCACCTGGTTTGCTGCACCTTTCCAGGCATTGTCGCTGAGCAAACTGATGTGATATAGGATTCCAAGAGATGTGATGCATGAAGTGCCCACCACGCTGCTCCATAGCCTGGAAGGAATGCCGGGCCTCGACTGGGACAGGCTGCTTCGCCTCCAGTGCTCTGACGGCTCCTTTCTCTTCTCACCATCCTCCACGGCTTTTGCTGTGATGCAGACTGGTGATGACAACTGCCTCAATTATCTCCAGAGAGTCATCCATAGATTTGGTGGGGGGGGTAAGACCGTTTGACGACACTTCTCCTCGTTCCACATGTTACTCTACCTTCACCGTAATTGATCGGATTCTACTCTCCAGTGCCCAACGTTTACCCCGTCGATCTCTTCGAGCACCTGTGGGTCGTCGATCGCTTGGAGCGTCTCGGGATCTCTCGATACTTGGAGCAGGAGATCAAAGACTGCTTGGACTACGTATACAGGTCGGTAATGATTTAGAGTCCACCTTCTTCTTCTTGCGCGTCTGAGAACGATCACCCGAACCACAGATATTGGACCGAGGACGGCATCTGCTGGGCGAAGGGCACGAGAGTGCACGAAGTGGACGACACATCGATGGGGTTCCGACTGCTCCGGCTGCACGGCTACGACGTCTCCGCCGGTGAGTAACAACGCATCCCCGGTTCAAGTTTTAAGGCATGGTCTCAGAAAGCTGTGCTACTTGGCCGTCGCAGGCGTGTTCCGGCATTTCGAGAAGGACGGCGAGTTCTTCTGCTTCGCCGGGCAATCGACCCAGGCAGTGACCGGAATGTACAACCTGAACCGGGCGTCGCAGGTGGCCTTCCCCGGGGAGGAGATACTGGCCCGGGCCAGGAGCTTCTCCTACATGTTCCTGCGAGAGAAGCAAGCCGCCGACCAGGTGGTGGACAAGTGGATCATCACCAAGGACTTGCCGGGCGAGGTAAGCAGACGACACACTCCCTCAGCTGCTTGCCTGGTACTCTCGATCGAGGCTGCATGACACGATGGGATCGACCTCCAACAGGTGGCGTACGCCCTGGACTTCCCCTGGTACGCCAGCCTGCCTCGCGTGGAGACGAGGCTGTACTTGGAGCAGTATGGAGGCAGCGGCGACGTCTGGATAGGGAAGACGCTCTACAGGTAACGCCACTCTCCCCATAAGTCGTCGTCGTCGTCGGCACGGACCCTAGTACGTCCTCCGGGACCCATGACTCACGGACCAATGGGGGGGACATTCGCCAGCCTCATCCTAATCTTAAGCTCTTTCCTTTTCCTACCTCGTATACCACGTGGGACCCAGTTTTACGGATGCATACTCGTATCGGAGAGCTGTGGGATGAGATAAACTAGAGCTAACAGGAGTTGTTGGGGTCGTCGTCGCAGGATGCCATTGGTGAACAACGACGTGTACTTGGAGTTGGCCAAGTTGGACTATAATCGCTGTCAATCTCTCCATCAGCTCGAATGGTTCGACCTCGAAAAGTAAGTGAGAGAAACGTCCTCTATTTTCCCCCAGCATTGATAGATTTAACTCTCCAAATTGTCCTTTTTCGATCACTTTCTAGTCTCCATTTTCAAGGCGAAAGAGTCTGTTAACCCTTTTCTTCGGTAAAAAATAATGATCGTTCGATTGGGATCAGATGGTACGAGGAGGCCGGTCTACGATGGCACAGGGTGAAGCGGAGGAGCCTACTGAGGGACTACTTTCTGGCGGCCGCTTGCGTGTTCGAACCGGACCGCGCGGTCGAGAGGTTGGGTTGGGCTCGGACCGCCACGATGGCCACGGCCGTCTCGTCGTTCTTTAGCAGCGCCACGTGCACGGACGAGATGAGGCGATCGTTCATCCTCGACTTCCTTGATGATCGAAGCGACGGCCATGACATCAGCAGGTGAGTGCAACACTGTCTTGCTTTCTTAAGATCCTGATGGAATCTTCTTCCGGACCATTTTCTATGCGTACTCCCTCAGCTTAAGTGATTAGTTCTTAAGATCATGGAGATGGCGAGTGATGTTTCTGAATTTGAACGCAGGATGGGAGGGAAGAAGGCGGGAGAAGTGTTGGTGGGTCTGCTCCGGCAACTGATCGAGCGGCTGGCGGCTGATACACGGCCGGCCTTCCAACAACAGCTGGTCCGCCATCACTTACAACAAGCTGTAATATCTCGATCCTTCTCCGCTCGCTCTTTGATTCCAATAATAATAATCATTTTTATAATATTTTTAATTTTGATCTTGTTTTTCTCAGTGGAAGGAGTGGTTGATGGCATGGCATAGCGACGCGTCTGACGGATTCGGAAGGGAAGAGACGGGGTTACTGCTGGTCAGGACCATGGAAAGCTGTGCAGGGAGGTTCAGTTCGACGGAGTTAACGGTGACTCACCCTAATTACAGTCGGCTTTGTCATCTACTGTCGTCCCTTTGTCATAATCTAAGGCGACGACAGATGGTTGCCGCTAAGGTATATTTTATTGTTTTTCTTCTCGATTATAATATATATATTTTGTGGATATTTTAGAACACCGATATCGACATTCCTGCTATCAATGAGTTCCTAAGAGTGGTTTGTCATCTTCTCAGGGCATCACGGAGGAGCGCGCTGTCACAAGCAGCTGCAAGGACAAGGCAGTAGAAGCAGAGATGCAAGAGCTGGCTCGGTGTGTGCTGCAGACTTCAGATGACCTCAACCACCACACCAAGCAAACATTCCTTCTGGTGGCAAAGAGCTTCTATTACGTTGCTCACTGCTCACCTGCTGCTCTCCGCAGCCACATCTCCGAGGTGCTCTTCAAGCCTGTGGCTTAGTGAGCTTCATGAAATATGTGAATGAGCAGTGTGATGGAGCTTAACAATTTGACATATTGCACTTTCTTCGGAATCTTTGGGACTTCTTATCATGCTGATTTCTTCCAAAGATGTGAATGAATAAGTGACGTAGTTTGTCAGGTTTACATGGCATCTATGTAGAAGGATGCAATGTC